AAGTTGATGGTGATCTCCTAGGGGAGAGGAATTAATTGTAGCTTATTCTTTGTGTCACACATATCTAGCCCAGTCTTTTGCCCAGACTGGGCAATGTACCCAATGAGAGTTGTATCAAAGGGCATTAAGGACATCCTTACTATAACAACAACAATAAACACGAGCAACTTCTGTTTATGTTTCTGAAACTTTCCTGGTCAGTGTGAATTGTCCTTTGATGGGTCCACCAGCTCATTCTCAGTCTTCTCTCCTTCAGGTGTACGAACGGGTGGCGGGGGAAGCTGTGCTGCCGATGGACAAGCGACTGGACAGGCTCATCTCTCACTGTGGCCCAGTAACAGGCTATATTTTTGCTTTTTTAGCTGTGCTCGACTATCTCCTCCTTGTTTTCCTGAGGTGGATGACTCCAGATTCTATCATTGATGTTGCAATGGATGCCACGGGGCCAAGCGGTGCCTGGACTCATCAAAATCCTGACACTACACAAAGGGTTGAGAATGATGAGGTTTTAGACACACCCAGATAGAATAGAAAACCCAGGTTGTAAAGTTTTAAACATTTGTAATAATTCTATTAAGGTGATTGAAAACAACCTTGCTTTGTTTGTTTTTGATTGTTAATTTTAGCAAGTTATGCTACCTCTATATCATTCGATATTTTCTTTTGAGGAAAGAAAAACTTATGCAATTCCTGAGTGTAGAAACTCCTTGCACTTCCTTAAAATGTAGAAGAGAACGTTTAAGCCACTCAGGTATGAAATTTTTCAGATTACTGAAATCCTTCTAGCAGAGATGTTTTAACATTATATTTTGAGAGCTTTGGGTGCTGAAGGGCCAAACGTTTCTGGGCATTTTTTGGCCAGTTTTTAACGTTAAAGCATTAATTAGACACTCACCAGATGTTTACAAGTTTTCTTTAGGGAAGTACAACAATTACATGTTCGTATACATTTATTAGATATTTAAGTCATGCTCTTAAAACATTTATTGGGTCCATTCAGTAAGCATTACATCTAATCAGCGGGTTTCTTAAGTAAGATGGTCTGTCAGTTACCAGCATGTTTTGAGTACCTGCTTTTGTGTAGAATGTTGAACTAGCTTCTTCCTGCTGTTAAGGACCCTGGTTGCATTTGCTCTTTGCTCATCTTTCAGATGGCTTCTTTTGTTATAGTCATAGTTGACATGAGATGGTAAAATGTCTAACATGCCAGAACTCATATTAGTTAATGCCAGGAAAAGTCACCGGCATCCTCTTAAGTATTTCTTTGATCGGTTATGTGTATTCTCCTCAGTAGAGCCTTCATCTTCAGTTATGTTTATGAAGCTTTTGATTTTTAATTTCTAGGGACCGATATCACTGTTGATAGTGCAGAGAAGCCCTCCACATTTTCAGTGCATAATTTAGTCTTCTGTAAATGGCCTTTGTGTTTTCTGAGCAGAATGTATGAGGTGTGCCATCTCACAACCAGCTGCTACCCTATCCTTTTGATATAAGTCGTTTCCTTCACTGTGGCCTAGCTGATGTCTGATAAGTATTGTCAATGTGCAAAAAGGCTTTACTTAAGAATGTTTTATTTATAGCAAACCAACTCTGAAAATCTTAGGACACAGTCTTTTTGTGAGTGGATGTTGTTAACTATAATTATTGTTGCCCAGAGCCATGGGTTTTTAAACCCCAAATTATCCACATGATGTGTATTATTAATTCTTTGAACTCTTTAGAATAAGCTTTTGTGAAAAAAGGACTGTGAATCAAAACAATGAGGCACTTGTGGGTGCACTAGATAGATTCTGTCAGTATTGTGATTCTGTACAGGATTTTTAAAATGATAACATTCACAAAACTTCTTACTTTTTAAGAGTATCTTAATATGCCTATTATCCGGTTGCCATTGGTATAAAAGAAATATATTTGTGTTTTGTTTGTACTAAAACACAAATGCAAGAGTGCAATTTTTAAAATCTAGAAGCTAGGGATTCTTTTGTTGGAGAAAAATGGACTGATCCAAACTATTCAGACCTACTAGGATTTTTATGCATTGAAACTGACATAAATATGAAATAAACAGTGCAATATTCATGGTAAAGTGAGAAATGGTTAACATTTGGTTTTATTTATTCTACTCAGCAATTTTAAAAGGTACACTACTATTTTTTCCTTTTGCTTCTTAATTTATTTTTCAAATTTGTCATTGAATTCTTCAGTTGTTATTTATTTAAAGTGAAAATAGCATTTAAAATTGTTTTTGCATGTAAGATGTGTACTTTACAAGTGAGAAATTATTTTCCTTTTTTTGGTTTTCAAACAAATGGAAGTAAGTTTATTTGTCTTACATAAATCTTAATTTTCAGACTTCCTGGATACCTTAGTTGTAACTGTCAGTGTTGCACTGGTCAGTATGTGGAAACACATTGTTCTACCCGATTACTTAATGTTTATTTAAAAGTGAAATTACATTGATGAGGAATTTATTAAAAATATATTGTATTTCTTTTGCTATTACAGATGGTCGCACACGTAAAATTGGTTTGTTAAAACATGCTACATGCCCAAAAATAAAGATGAGAATGACATTTTTGACAATTTTCTGAGTTTGTCTTGTTTTATGGACAGGATATTAGTTACTGGTGGAACAGGGTCCTCCCGCCCCACCCTCCCTTTTGTTTTTCAGTGTAAATACGTTGCTTGGTTTGTTAGTAAAACAGGAAATGTCCTTCAGATGATGACTCATTCTCCATCATCTTTTATTTCTACAAATACTCTTTCTTACTCATGGAAGAGCAAGTTCCATTGCACCATTGTTTCCTGACCCAAATAAGCCCTTGTTTTGCACTGCACTAGAGTTCTCACATAGGATAAATGAATGCATCTATACACTATTGTTTATGTGAACTACATAATTATACTTTATATCTTGCCAGATATTGTAAGAGGAATTTGGATTTGGAATTTGTTTATAAAAGCCCAGCTTTTCCCACCCCCTTTGTTAGAACCACTGTAAAGTAGTCACCTACATTAAATCAGATTTTAGTTCTGATTTATCTTACACCAGAACTTATTTTTGGCAATGTCATGTATTATAGGTTTGTATTTACTTTTGTAAAGTGTTTTTAAAGACCTTTTTATCTATCCTTGTATGCCCAGAAGGATGTGTCCAGATGTTAAATTGTATGATTCTGTGATTGGGTTTTTTATATGAAATTATGAAAATTAATTCCAGTTTTCTACAAAATTTAATTTGTTTTCTGCATTACTTTGGGGAGTTGAGTTTATTTTATCCTTGATCATTTATATTAGGCTGAGGCTCAGTGGATCTCAACTGAGAGATGGGGGATTATTTTGTTCCCAAGGGGATGTCTGGCAAAGTCAAAACATTTCTAGTTGCATCTGGATGGGGTGTGACATTAGCATCAAGTTGAGTAGAGATCAGGTGCTGCTAAGCATTCTACAATGCTTTGGATAGCCCCCCACAACAGAATCAGTAGTGCTGAGGCTGAGAAAACTGAGAAACTGTTGACTATTTCATCTGTAAAAGATGCTATGAATTAACTATTAAATAGCATTTACCTTTCATTTCTGTCCCAAATATATTGCTCAAATGTAATAAACACAGTCTTTCAGAAATAGTATAGCCATCTATTTGAACCAACTTTTTTGATATGTAAAAAATAGGACTGCCATGTTTTATGTGAAAATTAAAACCCAAACAAGATGAATAATGTTATAATATGATATACATGACTGGTCTGACATGAGTGAACAGTGGCCTCCATAGAGTACAATTGGAGAAGGAGATACATGAAGAGAGCTAAGGCATTGTATTTATGTATTTTCCTACATTGGTGTTCTACTGGATAATCTAAGCTTGATAAAGAAAACATATGTTAATATCCATTCCTTGAGAGTGGAAACAGCTCAAAATCTCAAAATAACAGTGAACTGGATGAGCTGTATCATGTGGCTCAATGTATGCCCATGTGTTGGCCTTGATGGTGCTGTGAAATAGTTCTTATAGTCATTTTAATTTGCCTGAGGGCTAGGAGAAACTCCCAAAGTTTTGCATAAAGCACTTATTAAATAAGGTTTATTTGGTTTGTTTTAATAATTTGCTTTAGTGATAGGTTTTAGAAATTTAGAAAATCGAATATAGTCAAGAATGAAAGAAGAGATAGTTATGAGGAAAATTAAAATTAAATCAAATTCACTTGTATTGGCCAGTTGATAAGAGAATATTATCCAGTTAGGGAAGCCATTGATTTGTGGAATCTTTGGTTACTTCACCTAGAACCTAGAGCATCTCTTTTATGCATTTCATTTTGGTTCTTCCAAGATCAAGGATAACCCATATTTTCCAGAAAGATGCTCCACCTTTACTGATGCTTGAAATGGAGGTGAATGATTGGGAAAGAACCTTACCGTGGGAACTTGTCATGGGCAAAACTGCAGCAGTGATGAGTCTAACACTTCCAGTCACTTTCAAGTTTTTGCTTGGAGAGACATCCAAGATAATAGACCTTTCATTAAATACTGACTTTGAGTAAATAGTCTTTTTTAGCTGGTCTTATTTTAGATGTGAGCTTTAATCCTCCACAAACTTTAGAATAATGAAATGTTCCCAGGAGTAGTATTTCCTACTAAGAACATAGGTTATATTTGCACTTCTTTGTATGAACATCAAATAACTTGCTTTGTCCCTATGGGGTCAGACAAGTGTCTTTTATCTTTCCAACCCTGCTTTCCAACATAATATAGCAAAAGTAGGAATTTAAGAGTAAAAAATGTTTTGGACTGAATCCCACTTGTTAGATGGTACTGAATAATAATTTAGAACTCTTAGGAGTTTCTGGTTGGAAGGAAATTTCTTTATTTAACGTTGCCATGGATGTCCGTATCTGCAGTTGCCAAATCAGAGTTAGATTAGAACCTACAAACTGAGTTCTCGGTAACAGGAGCACAGAGTGCTAGAAGGTTTAAAATAGATGTCATATGATACCAATTATAACTCAGTGAAATTTTGCAGTCCTGGGAACCTATACAGAGCATAAGCCAAAATGGAAGATGGACCTATTTTCTATGGCTTTAAAAACATTTTTATTACAATGTTTGCTACCTTTTTTTTCTTCAAACTTTTAATTAAAGTTTTTTTGGCTCTCCTAACCCATTTCTATATCGTCAAAGGAAATAGAAAAGAAGCGGCTAGGATAGCAGAAGAGATCTATGGTGGAATTTCAGGTAAAAAAAATACATGAATTTATTCCCAATACTTAAAAAGTACCCTCCTAGATAATTCATGTGAATAGTATTCTAGAAGGCAGATTTTCTTTGTACTTCAGTTTTGAGTGGGTAGTTTAAAAAATTACCTGTCATTTAAATTAGCAAATGGTGTTGGCTGCACCAATATGTGAAGAATTTTCAGCTTAATTTTTGCAAGTTAGTAGAGCAATTAGCAATTATCATTTAAGAAGAAAACAGGATAGTGACTTTTATGAGTAATTTTGAGAAACCTAATTTCTACTGGACAAAAGAATTGCTCAGATAGCATTATTTTCTTTAATAACTTTTGTTTGTTTGCAGTGCTGGGAATCAAACCCAGGTCCTCATGTATGCCAGGCAAATGCTCTACCACTAAGCCACATCCCCACCTCTATTTCTTTACCATTTTTAATCAACCTTTAAAATAAATAACATTCAGGCAAGACTAAATTGCCTCAGGAAATAAAATGAGCAATTTGATTTAAAGCAGCAAAGGTGGCATGCTATATATATTTTTGTGCTGATCATTTGCAAATGGAATTGATTAACCACTTGTCACTGTCAGAAAACTCTTCACAAAATCCATTTATGAGTGGCACCATGCAGAGCGCCACAAGGAAAGGTTGTTATAATGTGGAGTACTAAGAGTTGGATAAAACGTTTTAAAGTCTCATGCTTTGTAGAGATTAGACTACATTTCTTTTAAGAAACAATCGTAGTGAGATGCTACAAAAGTAAATGAATCAAGTGTCTCTGTCACTACTGGGATTGCCACTTAATAGAGGAGTATTTATTCATAAACAAGAGTTCAGAGTCTCCCTCTGTATTTTTAGTGTTTGCAGGGGTTCCAGGATTACATCATTCTTTATCTAGTATCCATTTCAATTTGCACCCAGGATTCTCTTTCAAAATAGACTTATGTGATTCCAATACACTAGACAACTTGGAAAACACTAGACATCAGCAGTCTTATCCAAAGAAATAGGACCTCCAAAGACGAAGCATCAGAATGCTTCAACTAACTGGGGAAAATGAGAAGAATTTTGAAGTTTCAGAAAGTGTCAGAAGCCCTGGACTGTGGAAAGAGATTTCTTTTGGGGATTACATTTGTCACACATTTCAGGGAGGTACGTTATTTTGGTGAAAAAAATTAATGCTTATCTTTAGTTTCAAGTTAAGCATGATCTGGAAAGCTAATTTCTAATTTAACCTGTAAATTTGGGCAGGGACTATCTCAAATTTTCAGTAATAATTTTGATGTTCTCAGAGTTTAAATGAAGGTAAAGTCCAACAAAGTCAATATTGCCACAGGGTATAAAAATGTTTTCTCCAATTGCTCCTATGCATTATTCCTATCTTTATGGCCCTTAACGAGGAGCAACTTCTCTTAAAGGGTTTTATAGCAGTTCAAAACCCATGTAAACATTATTTCAATTGGCCTGGAGTCAGAATTCAAATCTCTGAAATAGATTTGATGACTCTATGGCTCAAATAGCTTTACCTGTTCAAACTTCTGGGATAATATTCATTTAAGTTGCAAGTAACAATATTATAAGGTTAAAAACATATTTTCAATTATTGTTAACGAGGCAGAAGTGTGAATAGTGCATGTTAACTTCTCAGTTTGATTTTCTTCATGTGTATGTGTGTATGTGTGTGTGTGTTTGTCTGTCTGTCTCCTCACATACCCCCACCCACATATATATCATAACATATCTGGATTTGGCAAATAAGTTTTTCTATAATAATGTGGTAGTGAGATGCCAGGACCATATTTTTACATAATTCTAAAATTGCTTTTTCTTTTGACATTGTGAGCAGGTATATTAAAAATCAAGAACAAAATTTTGTGGCAGTGTTAAACTCAATCCAGAAGTCATCTTTAAACTCTTCATTGGTTGTAAAATATATTCTGTGGAAATATATGACATTTAATCATTAAGTTAGCTGACTTACAGAAGTCTCAGCTCAAAGTTAAATTTCCTGATTCTGCTTTGTATTCTTAAAAAAAAATTTTTTTTAGTTGTAGACAGACACAATATTTTTATTTTTGTTTATTTTTTTTATGTGGTGCTGGGGATCAAACCCAGGGCCTCATGCATGCGAGGCAAGCGCTGTACCACTGAACTACAACCCCAGCCCCTGTTTTGTATTTTTGTAAACTATTGTCAGCAATGTCAAAAACAAGAGCAGGGGGCTAGAGTTGTAGCTCAGTGATAAAGTGCTCACCTCGCATGTGTGAAGCACTGGGTTTGATCCTCAGCACCACATAAAAATAAATAAATAAAGATATTGTATCCATCGACAACTAAAAAATATTAAGAAAAAAAACAAGGTCAGAGTTAAATCTTTTCTTTGGTAGCTACACCTAACATCCCTTATTAAATATCATTCTTCGCTGTAAAATCTTTTAGAAATTAATTTTCTAGAATAATTGTTTGATACATCTTTGTGGTTGAAAGTATTTGTGTATAACTCATCAAAGTCGAGTTGGCTGTTACTACTTTTGATCTTTCAAGCATCTTTGTGTATTTTGTCAAATATAATACATTTGTATATATAAGTTTGAAACGTTGTCTTTGGCCCTTAGCTTATGTGTACAACACAGGTAGATCACTGAATGGATCCCCCGTGTGGACCACAGATAGTTCTACATGTACTACCTGTCTCCAGAGAGACGTGTGATTTTTCAGCCTTTACTAAACTATAGTACCCTGTGATTTTTTTCAGAATCCAGGAGCTTTTGGATGTTCAAAAATAACAATGTGTGCAAACATAAATAATCGCACTAAGTGAAAATACAAATAGAAATAATTAATCGCTTAAACTGAGTCTCACCCAGCCATGTTTTCCTGGCAAAGGAGTTTTGCATTGAATTTGGAGGAAAGCTTGATTTTCAGAATTTGAGGGATTTTACAGATGCAGATAAGAGGAAGTAGAACTATAGTACCCTTTAAAACAAACAGTGAAGCTAGTTTAAGCTAAATAAAAAGGATTAGTTTCTATTTCCAAGTGTTATGCTCAAAATCACTTGTCCTTGTTCTAAATTCAAGGGACTGACCTTGACTTGACAACTATCCATCTGCCTGACTCAATAACCTCTTTTTTCCTGTCCTTTCCTTTCCAATAGGATTTTCTTACATTTGTTCCAGTTTTGCTCAAACCCCTACCTAGCCTTCTACTCTTCTTTGGTTCTTGTTGGTTGTTTCACCAAGCCTTGACCTTACTATCCTCTGTGTGGTTACATTATCTCAGATGCTTGCTGACTTCTTCCAAGTCAGGACAACTAGTTCCTGGCAGAGGTTCTGTCTCCCCACCTGTCACTCAATCTCCTGCTCCTAGTGAGTTCAAAGTAGCCTTCTTTTTCACAGAGTTCATTGTGTCTAACACAGCTCATTGGTTAAGTTTAATCTTCTGACCACAGAAAATATTTATTTTAACTCCTTTTATTATATTTTAGATATCTCAAATTTCATTATATTTTCTCAATTAGCTTTGTTTTCCTTACAATATCATTAATTCTCCTAGGCTCTTGCCTTTATTTTGATTCAGAATTGAATTTCCTTATGATTTTCTTCTCTTTGATAAATGCCATAAGAGATGTTGTTTCATATGATTTCAGAACTTGAATAAAGAGAATAAAGATTGTTACACGTACCCTTGGGATTATAATCAGTTACATGGTCTTTTGGAATAACAAGCCAGTAATTTCAAATCCTTGTTAAAATTAGCCAGGGTAAAAATTGTAAAATAAAATATAAAAAAGAATCGGTTTTTAACTTGAATACTTGGAACTTAAACAACTGTATTACTTCTGAACCAATTTCATTATTGTAATATATGGTTTTAAAAGTAGTTACGAACGAGATTGTTATTCAAAGAATTTGAGAACAAGAGATATAAATGACATTCTGAGAAAAATTCAAAGGAGGAAATAAAAAACTACTTGAACATTTTCTGTACACCTCATCAGGAGCAAGCAAACATATCTGTAGAGTAAACTATTTCATAATGTTTGCAGCCCTATGATCCAGGCAGTCTGCCAAATAACTAAAAATAGTTTGCCTTAGAAGAGAATGACTGAGTACTACTTAAGCATTCATTTACTTGGAGAGTTTAGTTGCATATTTCCTGAAAGGAATGGAAAAATTCCTAACCTTCCAAATGACTTTTATCCTTAATTTCTCACAATTAACTCCAATTCATAAAACAAGAAAGATAAGATCGAGAGACTATCTTGGCAACAAAAAAATAGAAAAACAGGACACTTTCACCATGGTACTGGAAAGGTGAATTTCTTGAGAATGATTGTTTCCAGTTGGGGACAAAAATGATTTCTACTTTTAGGGTGATACAATTGGTTTATTTCACATTGTTTATAGAGAGAAGGTAGATGTCAAAGCATTTCAAGACTGGTAAATTTACCATGAGAATAGTCAGAATTTAGAGATCCATAGTTCTTAAAAACAGAATAAGGTATTTTCTGAAGTCTCCAAAAACTTGGCTTTCAGTGCTACTTCTTTTTTAAAAAAAAATATTTATTTTTTAGTTGTAGTTGGACACAATACCTTTACTTTATTTATTTTTATGTGGTGCTGAGGAACAAACCCAGGGTTTTGCACGTGCTGGGTGAGCGCTCTACCACTGAGCTACAGCCCCAGTCCTCAGTGCTACTTCTGACACTAACCATGAGACCTCTTTTCATGTGGAGCAAAGTGACAAATGTGTAATTTGGAGTATTCTTACTCATAAAATAAGGCTCTCCCCTCCTCTTGAGGAAGCTGCTGGTGCTCTAGGAGAAATAGAAATTTAGATAAGGGTGCTTAAGAGGAAGGGATCTTGTATTTCACTCTCCCATTGGAAGGCTTCTTGAGCATATGACTTGCTCATGTACCCTACTATGCTACTCAACCAGGAGGGAAGCGTTGGAAAGCAGAAGTGTGGTGAGGGAGATTCTCAGGACAACCCCGCTTCCCTCTTTCTTGGTGCAGTGAAAGATGTGGCCACAGGCTTGCCACTGAGACTTCAGCAGTACAGTGTTAAAGTTGGGGGACATCAGAAGATGCTGCCTTTATGAGAAACACTATGAGAGGTGGTCAAACAACAGGAAAGAAAGATGCTTAGGAGTGAGCCCAAGTGTTAAGGCAAGCCACAGACCCAAAGTGAACTCTGTAGTTGAGGCTCAGAGAGCAGGACTGGCTTCCACTTTTAGTTAACTGGGAAGGCATTGCCGTGTCCTTTTTGCTTCTCCCCACCCCCAAAGCACCAGAGAAGTTGGCACCTAGAAGGAGGAAGTAGGAGGCATATGAAGAACACACTGTCCTTCAGTAGACCAGCTAGCTGTTCAGTAGACCAGAGAAAGCCATATCCTGCCCTGGGAGTGGGAAGAGGGTAGGAGCTGTGGAAGGCATCAGCAATAACATTTTAAATGGTGGCAGAGCCATTTTAAAATCCTTTTTATGGAAATATGATGTAAGTACAGAGAATTGCACAAATCCTTAGCAAACAGTGGGATGAATTTTCACAAAGTGAACGCAGTCAGGAACCAGTGAGACTGTGTTTTGTCAGCATGGCTCCAACCATGCCCAATTCCTGTCAGACTTCACCCCTCCTTGGGTTGCTTTTGGCTCCTAACACCCAAGGTGAGTTTGTCCTCCTCTCCCTCACTCAAACAGACTTACTCAGCACATGCTCTTTTGTGTCTTGTTTCTTTCACTCAACATTAGGCTTCTGAGGTTTCTCCATCTTCGTATATGGATCGGGTCTTATGGGACTAATGAGTCACAGAAAGTTACAGGAAAATCTGAAATATGACGAGAATGTGAAATAGGACGATCATCACAGCCTGCATGAAGAAAAATTTTAGAAATTATAAAGCTGTTTCATGTTGATATATCTGAAATTAACTCTTTTAATGGCAAGTTGCTACTTCAATCTTATTTTTATGTTTGAATAGAATACTTATACAGGCTAGTATCCCTTACCAGAAATGCTTACAACCAGAGTGCTTTGGATTTTATTTTTTTTCCAGATTTTAGGTATATTTGCATCTATGTCTATATCTATAATATCTTGGGTATGGAACACCAGTGTAAACCCCAAATTCATTTGTGTTTCATATACATTTGATACACATAGCTTAAAGGTGACTTCATCCAGTAGTTTATTTTGAGTGTTAAGCACTTTCATTATGTGCAATTTTTCATTTATGGCATCATGTCAGGACTCAAAAAAAGTTTTGGATTTTGGAGCATTTTGGATTTCAATATTCAGATTAGAGGTACTCAACCTGTGGTATACCTTCAAGTGACTATGATTGACTAAGCAAATATTAGAACAACAGAATTTAAAAAACTCTGCATTTTGGGGTTTGCCTCTTGTATTAGTCAGGTGCTGAGTTTCCAACTGTGGGCAAAGACTGTCCTCCTCATCCAGTGCCCATGCTCACCTCCAAGAGCAATTAGAAGAGGGGCAATGTGTGAAGTACAATTAATATTGAATGACATGGAGATGCATTAGAGGAAAACCAAGGCAGACTAATTCAGGGTTATATGCACACATTATCTCATTATCTTCAGCTTATGAAAATAAATGTCAAAAGAGATTTAAAAATATTCCACTCATCAACTTTCTAAAATTTGTCCTTTTTAGATATACATGACTGTAGAGTGTATTTTGACATATTATTCATGCATGGGTATAATCTCCCATTCTTGTGACTGAACATGACGTGGAGTTTCATTGGTTGTATGTTCATAACAAACATAGGAAAGTTACAACCAATTCATTTCACTGTCTTTACTATTCCCATTCCCGCTGAAGATATAGCTCAGTTGGTAGAGTGCTTTCCTCACTATTCCCATTCCCCTGTCCCTACCCTTTCTTCTCCTTTGTCCAATTCAATGAGCTTCTATTCTTCCCCTCCCTAACCTCCCTTATTATGTGTTTGGTTTTTTTGGGATTGGCTTAGTTCACTTAGCATAATAGTCTCCAGTTCCATCCATTTACCAGCAAATGCCATGATTTCATTCTTCTTTATGGTTGTCCACTTATCAACTCTTAACAAGCTCAGGAACATGTGAAGATGACACAATCACAATTGTGTTCATGTTACAAATTTTTATCTGTTTTTCTTTATTATAAAAGCATTATACATTCATATCAGAAGTATGAGCTCACAAATGATTTCATCTATCTATCTACTCATCTTTATCTTTTTTTTTTTACTTTTTATTTTGGAATTAATTTTAACTTACAGAAAAATTACAAGAGCAGTACAAAGAATTTTCACTTGTCTTTGCACAGAGACTCTATTCAGATTTACCCACCTGTTCCAATAATATCCTTTATAATAAAAGGATCTCATTCAAGGTTAAGTGTTGCTTTTAGATGTAGTGTCTTGTCAGCCTTCTTCAATCTAGAACAGTTTCTCAGTCCCTCATTGAACTGGTTATAGGCCAATTATTTTGTTGAATGCCCCCTCAGTTTGGGTTAGTGCACAGTGTCCTCATGACCAGAGTCATTTTGGGCAGGAATATCACGGAAGCAATAGTCTATGATTCACACTGTGTTCCCTCTGATGACACATGATGTGGTTCACTGCATTCCATTAAATGACACACAGTGCCAATTTGTTCTATCACTGCTTATGTCAGCTTTGATCACCTGGGTAAGGTAGTCTATGCTTTTGTTCCACTGTATAATTACCCCATTCCCTATATAATTAGTATTTTTTGTATAGGGAAATAATTTGAGGCTGTTTCTATCATTTCTTCCACATTTAAAAATCAGTATTCTAAGCAAGCACTTTCTCTTCTCTGACTGTATATATTACTTTTATCAATGAGAACTTATAGTTTCCTATTTTATTTCATAGTATATAATCTCTCATTGTCATTGTTTATTTTGATGTTCAAATTGTCCCATATTCAGCCGGTGGAGGCCCCTCCAAGTTAGTTTCTGTGTCTTTTTAACATTTCCCATCATTTTTTGAGCACTTCCTTCCTTTCTGACAAGCTGATTGAGGTGCAGCCTATATTTTTTTTCCTAGCCCAGGCCTGGGATCAACCATTTCTCCAAGGAATGTTGGGTTTAGGGTTTCTCAATGTACAATGCTAAAAAAGTATGGCTTTCCCCATTTTTTTTTTTGTAATCCAAAGAGAGACGGTACATTGGGTTTCAATGTGTGTATGGTGGGGGGAGGCTTACTGAAATGTGTATAACTTTGGTTCTCACCCATCAGAGAAATTTACCCTTTCCTTGAGGTCTTGTTATTTCAAATTCACACACTTCCATTTTTTGGTGGGATTTTGTTTTTGCCAAGTTTGCAGAGAAAACCTGAGTTCTTACCATCATCGAGATTACCTAGAAGAGACCCTTTTTGTTAAGAGAGGCCCTTTTTGTTAAATCCAAATCATATTCCATCCTATTGTGTATATGAAGAACATAATCATAATTTGAAAAATGTCCAAATTTTGCAAAGCAGAGTAGGTTTTCTTCCTGAACAAAGGATTGTCCTTTGGCACTTTTAATAAAAGATTCCTTCTCAGGTGCTCATTTAAACTGGGAGAGATCAACTGTTCCAAAAAAAGCTCCCCCTCCTCTCCCCCATTTGCCCACGGGCACACCACCCCCCCCCCCCCCCCCCCCCCCGCCCAGCACATACCAGACAAAAACAGACTTGGTGCCCTCAGTAGCTTGTCATTCTGAAAGCAGCTGACAAGAAAGCTTGATGAATGATACCTGCTTTCCTCCCAGCATGAAAAAGCTGAAGAAAGAAGTCTCTAGACTTTGACTCTGAGCTTGATTTGTGTTTCAGATTGCTGGGCTGATCGATCCCCACTTCATGAAGCTGCGGCTCAGGGGCGCTTACTGGCCCTTAAAACGTTAATTGCACAAGTAAGTATGAAAACATGATCCTTTATGCTGTGCCATATCGAGCATCATTCTTTATTAGCTTTGACTGTAGCAGAGGTCTTATTTGCCTCATTTATTTAGGTCCCACCGTTTGTTCCTCTTGTTTCTTCTTTTCCTCATTTTTGGCCCGGGTACCTCCTTTCCCTTCTGGGCCTTTCTTTACCTCATAGGAAGTTTCTCTATGACGATCAATGAAAGATACCTTCAAATTTATGTTGAACTCACTCACCTCATTGTCTCCTAGTGTACATTAGAGACAGCAGTCCTGAAGTCTCACTTGTCAGCTATTGCTGTAACAAATTACCTCAAAACATAGTCACTAGAAACAACAAACAGATATTTACAGTTTCTGTGGGCTGGGAAGAAGTTTCCAGGCCACAAGATGTCATCCAAGGCTGTAGACATCTCATGGTTTAACTGGGGGCACAATCTGCTTTCAAACTCACTCATGTAGTTGTTGGCAAACTTCAATTCATTGCCACATGGGTCTCTCCGAAGGCTTGCGCCACGGGGTGGCAGTTGACTTTCCTCAGAGACAGCACCCAAGAAGGAAGTTGCAGTTTTTTGGTTTTTTTTTTTAGGATTTTAAAATCATATTTAT